ACCAAGATGGCCATCCTGGCAGACGCACGAGCCAAGCAGGGCGTCTCTGCGGCCAACGATAACGTCAAGGTTAGTTGGTCACTTTTAACCCTATCCGTACGTCGTGTTTTACTATCGTATCCATACAACGTGGGGAACTCAGGTTTTTTTGTTCAACCCTTTTATGTCCAAATAAAAACACATTTCTGTGAGAATTATATTGAAAAACGTTGATTAAAAGCTCAAAATATGTAATTTTTCAGTTTTCAAGGACTCTTTAGCTATTGAAGTTACCAAACTTTGGTGGCCATTTTCTCACTATTTTTACAGCGAAAACACGTGAACTTTCAATCTCAAAAAACTTCACTTCTGCTCAAGATAGATGGGTATATTTTCATCAAAAGCAAGCTTTAAGATGATAACAATAATTCCACATGCTCAAAAATTGACGAGCGCGTGATTTCACTGCATAGTGACACAAACAGTCCTCTGATATGTACTAGATTAAGATATGGAAAAATTAATACACGATTAAAAATTTTTAAACGTGAAATAGTCCTCTGATATACCATGTACTAGGTATTAAATTTGATAAAGTTCGAATAGAGAATCCAGCATGTGCTGGTATTAAAAATTAATAAATTTTAAATAGCCCTTCGGGTTGTACCACGTTTAAAAAATTGATAAACGATTAAATATTAATAAACAGGAAATAGCCCTCCTCTGTGATCGGGTTGCTCAAAATTGATAAATTTTAAATAGCCTTCCAGCGTTTTCTTGGTACTGAAATTAGTAAAATGATGTTAAAATCAATAAATGTTATATAGCCCTCCAGCGTGTACTGGGTATTTAAAATTAATAAAGGTGAAATAGTCCTCTGGTATGTACTAGGTATTAAAAATCTAAGAAATTTTAAACAGTGAATTTGGCGTGTACTGGTATTAAAAATTAATATACGTGAAAACGCTCATCACTTCGTACTAGGTATTAAAAATTAATAAAATTAAAATAGCCATCGGATGTGTTACACGTTAAAAAAATTAATAGATTATAAATAGTCCTCCAGCGTTCACTTGGTATTAAACGATAATAATGAATCACATAACACAAGGTAGGCCTTTTATTTTACTTTCACTTTTACTATTAGTGTACCTTCTTATTGTTTTCCATGTACTGTTGTTTAGTTACTTTTAATCATGTTCGTTTTTGTATTATTCATTTTCCGTTGATTTTTTTTTTCACTCGGTTCACTTTAATATAGAGATTTGACGGAGAGAAAATGAAATGTGACACAAAATGGTGGAATCAGGCGCTTGTCAATTTTTTAGGCTTTTGGTGTTATCGGTATCATCTGAAAGCCTTTTCATTTGCCTTACTTTTGGGGGAAAAAATATATTATATAATATGTTGAATAGAAGTCAAAATATTTGCGATTGAAAGAGGTCAGGGTCTCCTAGTCTCAGAAATAAAATAAGCGAGGAAATGGCGCCAAAATTTGGTAACTTCCATAGCCTGAGAGTCCTTGGAAACGGACTATTTTCATTTTTTGGTGCCTTTAATCAATGTTTTTCAGTAAAATCCATACAAAAATGTGTTTTTTAATAATGAAAGGTGTCAAGCCAAAAAAAAAACAATTAGAAAAAAAAATTTCTTCGGCCAAAAAAATGCTGATTTTTAAAATTTCATTATCATGCCTTGCAAATACATGGTGCAAGTTTTTTGTTCACTTAATATACAGATTTGATGGAGAGAAAATGAAATCATGATGTAAGTTTTTTGTTCACTTTAATATACGGATTTGATGGAGAGAAAATGAAATCATGATGTAAGTTTTTTGTTCACTTTATAGAGATTTGATGGAGAGAAGATGAAATCATGATGCAAGTTTTTTGTTCACTTTAATATACAGATTAGACTGAGAAAAAATGAAATCATGATGTAAGTTTTTTGTTCACTTTATAGAGATTTGATGGAGAGAAAATGAAGTACATGATGCAAGTCAACATGCTGACCAAAAAACAGGAGAAGATGGAAGCCAAACTGGTGAGTTTCGTAACATTTGAGAAAATGTATTCATATTAAGTGTTTTGTTTGGTATTGGTACCAGAGAGATTGGGGGAGGGGGAGGGGGGAGTTTGACCCAAGAAAGAAGGGGGGGGGGAGGGGGTTGTCCCAAGTCCCTTTGTACAAGTTGTTAAGTGTCGTAATTTTGAAAGCAGTAAAATGGGTGTTGGAATTATTCCAACTCTAACTCAAAAGTCAGTGATTTTTCTTTCTGGGTCCCCCTTTTTTATATTTCTGTGGTTAGTTTATACTTTTATCAAAGTCATTCATTTCTGTCTGTCTGTCTGTTCTCTTTCTCTCCCTCTCCTCCAACTTCCTCTCCCCCTCCCTCCGTCTCCCTTTCCCTCTCCCTCTCTCCCTACCCCTCTCCTCCTCCCTCCCCCCTCCCCTCCAAAGCATCACGTATACATGATGTGAGATGTATAAAATATAACATTTTTCTCTTTCTCAACCCCCC